TTAGGGGCAGGTCGAAACAATGAGGGCCTGAAAATGGCCCTCCGTTTCAGGCTGAAAACTCTGGGTCTGAAAAGACCTAGAAATAGGCTGAAACGGGGTAGGGCCTGCAGGCCCTCGTTTTTCATCATCCAGGCTGAAACGAACGGGGCCTGTAAGCCCTAAGTTTTAGGCTTTTAGGCTGAATGTCCGGGACGGGCCCCGCAGGGCCCGTGTGGCTACGCAGTATGCCACAGTAACCTTGTGCGTGGATAGCATACTGTCAAGCCAAGCTTGACACATGCCTCGCGACCGGTGATATAAATAGGCATGTCGGTTGGGGTTGCTGACTTTGTACAAGTCCAAACGCAAGTCAAATTGGCGCCACCATGGCATAGGCTCGGTCTTTGATGCATTGCAGAAGATCGCAATGCCGTCGAATTTGTGTATGCGCTCGTGAGATGACGGGGCCGAACTGGTAGCTGCTGCGCAAATCTGCTAACTGTTGGTTGGTTGTTTGCTGCTGCCGTGCCGTGTCCTTCAAAGCGCCCACGTCCAGCTCCAATTTGCTGACGCGTTCCGGGATGTTGGAGGGGCCAACAACTGTTGCTGCAACAGGCCGCTGTTCCAAAGTGTGTACGTGACCGAGCAATGACTGCACGGGCAGGTCCAATGTTAGGATGTTCTCTTGCTGGGCCATGTAGGTAGCTACCAAGTCCATGATCCGTTTGATGACCGTGGAGAAGTTACGTACGGTTGTGGAGGCACCCTCCTCCTTAAGCGACGTGTCCCATTCGGTGGCCAAGGTCAAGACTTCAGCCTTCTCCTCGAGTAATGCATCCCGGCGTGCTTGTCGTGTGTCGTCTGCAGCCTGTCGTGCTGCGTCGTCGTGCGCTTGCTGCTGTAGTTCAGCAACACGACGTTTCTGCTTTGCTTCCCTCTCTCTTCTCTCTAGCAGCAAGTGCCGCATCTGCCCGTTGCTTAACCTCGAGCATCATGTCAACCAGCAGGGCCTCGTAATCGGCCTCCGACTCGTTGTCCCTGGGTTCCGTTGTTGTGGCATACTGCGCAGTCACACGGGCCTGCAGGGCCCGACAAGCGTTCTCAGCCTAAAAGCCTGAAAACAAGGGCCTACAGGCCCTGTGTCATTTCAGCCTAAAAGCCTGAAAACAAGGGCCTACAGGCCCTATGTCGTTTCAGCCTAAAAGCCTGAAAACAAGGGCCTACAGGCCCTGTGTTGTTTCAGCCTAAAAAGGGCCCTCCAGGCCCTGAGTCTTTTCAGCCTGAAACGGAGGGCCATTTTCAGGCCCTCATAAGATCGACCGGCCCTGAAAC